GGGGGGGGGGGGGCAATTGTTCCAGTCTATACGTGGGGAGCAGCACGTGCTGGGAACCGGGCCCAGCGTCCCATCAGAATCTTACAACATATATGAGTTACTGGGGCCTTTACCCGGCTTCGACTAAGAATTCACGTACTAGAAATTCTCAGAAAAATTCAAGCAAAGGGGTTATAGAAAAGGAAAACTCAAGCTTTCTATCCATAGGAGACGTCAGCCCGAAACCAAACTGCCTTGGTGACATTCAACAGCCCAACACGAAACCTTCCTCAGCCTCCCATATCCTCAATACCCAGTCTCTACCAGACCTCACACCCCCAACTGCTAGGTTACAGAGCGGTGCGACCCACTCCAGAACAATCCCCCACCTGCTGGGCTAAGGGTGAAGTGACCCACCCTAGCTGCGGCTAACTCATCTGAGTACAAGCTTGCCAACAGACAGTAGAGTGCCTTCCACCCTCGACATCTCCCCAGATATTTCTACCAGGCCTCTTGCCCCCGTACAGCTCGAGCGGCAACCAGTGTCGTTCTGGCCCCGTCTGTTCACTAACCTCTGGGACCGTGGGCATCAGCAGGCAACAGTCGAGCCCCCAATCACAATCACACCAGTAGTTTCGATACCTCCATCTCCTCTAGGCCCTGGTTGCACCAATCCGTTTATCCCTCTCTACCCTCTTCCAGCAAGACTTACCATGATAGAGCCACCATCACCACCATTGCTATGCCCTGTCTCTATCCTGCTGGCTAGCCCTGTCCGCCGTAGGACGTGTGTCACCCAGTAACGCACCCCCCCAACCCCTGCAACCAGCGGCCAGCTATTAAGAGATTCAAAGAATTTTCGAAGTCAGAGAAATTCTACTCAGCACAATCGGCAGAGGGATCCCCTTCTGCCCCCACGAAAAGAGGGGAAGGGAGGGAAAAGTAGCCTCTGGTCATGTGGAGGTTTCCGCGTCTGTTCGAAGCTCAGCTATGAACGAAGAACTCGTAGAGAAAGTTCCCGTAATTGCTACTCCCCTCAAAAACGGCCTAGTGTCCTCACACTGCTTCCGTCGGGAGGTGCCCCCTCACCTCACCGACCCCAATTCAGAACAGCCCCCTAAGCGGTCACTCCTGCTCCCTCAGCAGCATACAATTTCCTTTGAAGTATGCCCCCACAGAGGTGGAGTTCCCCCTTTCCTCCTGTCCCACCGCTTCCCAGTGAAATAGCCATCTCTACGTCTCATCTTGCTGAAATCAGCGCCCCTTGTCCACTCTCCCCAAACTGCCATGCTGATCCAGCCCAAAAATCAGCATGACCCAGAAAAGGACCCTCCCACAATACCGCCCCTACCCTCTCAAGGACAACACCTCCCACCTTGTGTAACCCTTGCAGGGAAGAGCTCCAATCCTGAGGAAATAATCCCAATCAGTACCTGTGAGTCCAAACCCTACAAAACCTCATGATGAGCCTCGGAACTTCCATGCACCCAAAAACAGACTAAAACTAGAGATTCCAAAAACCCGAAACAATCTAAGGACGCAAATCATAAAACACCACTTCGAATCTACTGTGAGCATTGAATTGAGAATACAGAACTAGAGAAACTAAACATCAAATCAGATTTGATAGTGGAAGACATCAATTCAAATCGACGAACCAAATTTGCCAATCGTTTTCGTTTTCGTTTTCAGTACCCCTCTTTTGAGATCAGAGCAAAGCTTTGATTTACGAATCTTCAATTGGTAAATATTGCCCAGAAGTTATTTCAGAAAACAATCAAGATTCACTATAAATTCAGAAAATTTAGATTAGGTTGTCATCATTTTAATGAACATCAAGAATTACAACGTAGAAAAGACAAACAGGTAATACAAAGTCAAGCCGACTATCATGGAACCACCGAATCAGAAAACACTGAAGTAGATCGTCATCATTTTGATGAACATCAAGGATTACGACATTGAAAAGACAAACAGGCTGCGGTGCACGCCGTTCCGTTCGCCGGCGAACGCGAACACGTTCGCCTGAACGTGTTCGGGCCTTAAAAAATGGTGAACGCGAACGCAAACTTTTTTTTTTTTTTTTTTTGG